AACCACCCATCGTCGCCACTGCAAATAGTGTATTTGGAGAAGATGAAAGTACTTTGTTTTGGTTAATTGTTTTAATTTGTCAAGTTGATTTAAACATTTTATTTCAAGTTGACTAACGGAATATTGGATGAAATCTGTCAATGGACTCCAATTGTAGTTAAAGTGAAAGGTTTGGGACTGTCGCTGCCAAAATAAAAGGTTAAAGTATAATTTGTACAAAACTGAAAGGTTTGAAACCACAGCTGCAATTATATCTTATTTCTATGGCGAAATGCAATGCAATGCACTAGCCCTTGTTTTATTTGAATAAGAATGATACCCCATTCAACTCATAAAGATAGATTTGTTTCCATTTTTACACCAATTAAGAAAATATAATTAATATAATTGAAAATATAATTTTTTTTTCTAATATATCCTACATAAATAATAATTTCATAGGAGTACATATTTATTGATAATAATGCACATTAAATAAGGGTATATTATAAAATTAAAAAATCAATTATATTCTCAATAAAGAAAGTGACATATAGCTTGAGAAAGATGAAAAATGAAAGTAGATCTATCTTTGTGAAATCATTGGAGTAGATTTTGATAAAAATTGATAAAATATATAGTTAAAAATTTGATAAAAGTAATGAATTTTATAAATTAAAATAAGTTTTGAAAAAATTGAGTTTTAACAAAGAATAATGATATTTGCAGTCGCTCATTGCAGCAGTTGCCATATGTAGCACATACATGTCAAATGTGTATTTAATACATTAATGTGGTAAAAAAATATCACATTAATGTATTAAATAACTACATGCCATGTGTATGACACATATGACGACTGCTGCAGTGAGCGACTATGAATATCATTGCTTTTTAACAAATGAGGTCAAACTTGAACATATGCCATGTTTGACAACCATTTTATGGGAAGAATGAGTTTTTAAATACTCTCTCGATTCCATTTATATAGGCTACTTTCCTTACTTTTTGCCTCAATTATATAGTCTTATTTATTTATTCGTTTACTAACATACACTTATTTAATTTATCTAATTATAACCAATATGAGAATTAAAAATTAAATTATTTAATTTCTTTACTATTTTCAACAATAATTTACTATTAGTTGTTGATAATTAAATAAGGACACACTAGAAAAGTTTTTGACAAAAAAAATAATTTTTTAATAATATTAAATAATATTTCTTAATCTGTATAAAAAATAAAACAAGCCTATATAAATGAGATAAAGGGAATAATAATATTTTTTGTGAGTTTATGTAAGAAATATTTTATTGTGAGAATGTATAGTTGAAAAACAACGTCAAAAAAAAAAAAAAATAAATAAATAAAATTTTGAAACAACTATTACCCGACGGAGTATAATCTTCTCATTGGACAAAGTGAACTTTGAAATATGTAAACATGCGGGTCAAAGTTTTTATTTATTGCATATGATGTCATGATACAACTTTCTAGGTTGATGGCTCTCTTGAAAAGAAAGAAAAATCTACCGCACTACAATATTCTTCCAAGATATCTTCTAATAATAATAATATTATGGTTTTTAATATTTGTCCAGGTTTTATGGCCATGAAAACAGGCTCTTAAGTCAATTATCAACTTATTTTCACGTGTCATGACAATCTACTTATGTTAAATAATTTATCAGATATGACAATCCTATGATCAATCCTTATCCTTAAAAGAAGGGAAAAAAAAAAATTTATCTCCCGAAACCATGGTTAATACTTCATAATGAGGTGGTTTGACCATAGCGACGCCATATTAATGCCATTCCATAAAACTTAACTTCGATTTGATTTTTCTAAAATCATATTTTTAGTGAATTGAAAGGTAAATAAAAATCCCTTGCTGTTTTTTTTTTTCTAAGAAAATTTTGAGCACGTAGTTTTATGGTGGTTCAAGAAGTGGGATGGTAGCGCAAATATAACTGAGGGCGTATAGATCTTACCGATTGTGGTATATATCTGGTGGCCAATGCAGGGATTTGGTCACGATCGAGGTGGGTGGCGATATCGGTGTAGATTTGATGACATGGTGTTCGCAAGGGATGGATATAAGCAATAGGTGATCCACGATAGTGAATGTGACATTTAAAAATAAAAGATACACACATTGTCACAAAATTAATAGACGGTGTAAGTTACAATTTTAAGGAAATTATATGCACTACAACAAGATTAATATAGAGTGTAAGTCACTATCATTGAAGCTTATCAAAATGTATAAATTACATAGACGTTAAGGATAAAATTGAAAAATTACATACATTGTAGTTTGCCAAAAATAACGTATTTTCAAGATATACCTTTTTTTGTGGCAATTCTAAGGTATTTACCTGATTTTTCAATTTGATCATTTATTTATGGCCTAGTTGGGTAATTTTTTCGGGAAAAAATATGACCAATTTGACGTAGAGTTTTTGAGAATATTTTTTGTGAAAAATGACTTTTTGAATGTGTAATTAAAAAGTAAAAAAAAATTATGAATTCATATATAAAATTGAATAATATTATTTTTACATAAAGAGTTACATAATGTTTTTTTTATATACAGATAATGTTTCAAAAAGAGATCGAAAGTTTTTTTTTTATTTGATTGAAAAAATTCTGACCGAATCATATCTCATCATATCATGTGTATGTAAATAATTATTTACATGTAACACAATAGTATAAAATTACTTTATTGAGAGTATGTAGTTAAAAATAAATTTGAAAAATATATGAGTTTTAAAAATCTATACCAAACAATGACTTAGTTACCCCCAATATAGTTGAGGCCTAGTTAAATGTCTCAAGTGTCTGGCCCTTCTATGCGGGCCAAGCAGCCCACTTCACAACTCAAGGCCCGATGCAATAACCGTTTACAGACAACTAATCTCCCCGCGAAATAACGGTAAAAAATTGGTTCAAATCTAAACGGCCGAAATGGCCGCTTGGCCTCTATTTTGAGCAAAAAATCTCCGCCAGAATAAACCCTAGAACCGCCCCCACAATCCCTCTGATATTCCGGTGCCCCAAATTTACGAGAATTAGGGCATTTTTTTTATGTGAATTTTCATGATATTTGGTTCTTGATTTTGTCCGAAATTGGTTTCAAGACAAAGGATAAGAAGATCATCAATCGGAATTGATAGGTGATTTGTGGGGTTTTTCATCATTTAGGTATGTTCAAGTCTTTATAATGCCTTGATTTTATCGAATCAATGTTTCCCCTTTTTCTTTTTGGATTATCGAGCATTTGAAATTACCAAACCCCAATTTTTAGAACCTAAAAATGAGGAAACAGAATTAATTGATGTTTCAATAAGTCTAAAAGATCCGATTACAATTATTTGTTTGTAAATGATCTCTGAGAGTTGAAATTGCATAGGTTTTTGGGGTTTGTGAAGCATTGTCATGAATGATTAATGTTTATTAAATCATATTCCCCAAATTTTAAATACAGAGATAGCTTAAGATTTCGACCATGAAACTGCATTTTTGACATTATATTCTTTTTGCGAGACTGCCATTCAGCAGACCTTAACAAACTGCTTTGGGAAAAAAGGAAAGAAAAGCATTATGATGTGTTGTAAAGCAAACAAGATACCAGAATCGCTCTGATTCCACTTGTTGTGAAACAAACTACTGGATTGAGATATTGAAATTATATGACAAATAATAATGAAGCATATGATCAAGCAAAAGAATAATAAAGACAAGAATACGACAGAGGAATTAAGAGATTTTATTGACTCAAGAATAATGGAGAAGATAGAAAAATTACAGTTGATCTTATAATTCTAGTAATCTATTTTCTCACACATTAAATTATATAGAAGAGCCTAGTATTTACAAGGAACATGTAGGGGACGTCCAAATCCTCTTGGTAGAGTTGTTGATGAAGTAGGATGCCAAAAAATCGAGTCCAAAACGAGGTAGGAGCAGAAAATTGCGAAAAACCCGAACAAAATAGGTGGTGCCACGGCCCCCAACTCCGGGCATCATGGGGCCGGGCAATCCGCCCCAATTTTTTTTCTCAAATTGTTTTCTCCATCTCAAACTCTTCTTCAAGCCCTTTTTCAAGCCCAATATCAATTTCCAACTCCCAATGTACTTCCAAATTAGAATTTCAACTTGACGTAGGACTCCAATAGCATTCCAAACTCGAATTCTCTTTGATGTGTACTTTAATTAGAATTTTTTAATATTTCAAACACTTCAACAAAGGAATTTGGGTCACACCCAAACTCCAACAATGCTGTAGGAACTTCCACCATAATCTAGCGTAAATACTTAATTGGAGTGAGGTTTATGTGGGAATTGAGAATTATGTCAGGACTCAGAGTCCAATTATCATTTTAGAGATTCCCACGTATGAAATTATGGAAGCAGTTTTTTGATTTCCTTGTACCACATCTTGCGAACGTAGGAGTTGCTAAGAGCAGAGTTCAGGAAGAGGTAAGGCTGTAATGCCTTTTGGCTCTAATTAATTTATAAGATGGACTACATATGGGACTATTAAGTTCTTTCCTCTTTACACATTATCTTCAATTTCTTGCATGCAAGCCTTTGCGCATTGTGAAAGATGATAATCTTGGCAAAGTGGTGCATATAGATTTGATAGGAATAAGCTTAGTACTTTTAAGCACCTTTGAGAATTTTGTTACCAGATATTGCTTTTCATTTTCCCAGTCCAAAGAGGGAGACTTTTGCCATATGTATCAAGTAAATATGGAAAATTTTAGGGTCGAATCAACACCTCTTATCTGCATGCTGGAACGTTCTTTAAATGAATGTTGAAATGCCAGCACATTCCAAGTACAAAAGAAGACTCTTTCTTCTATTGATGACAACTACGCAATGGAAGATTTGAAATTAAGTACATTAGAATAATTTGCGGTGTCGAAACTAATAATTTCACTATGCAGGACAGCAAACGATCACTGGAGGTCTCAGAAAGTCTCAAGGATTTGATGAAGCAGATCAATAATGGCATCTGAAAATGTAAGCAACAGCAACCAGCTAGTAAATACGAGCGCTGAGGTTAGTCGTGTAGATGGAAAACCACTTTTGACCGTAAACAATCCCGGACTTTATTCTTCTTCTAGTTCTTCAGAATTTGGCAATGGCGATCTTTGTGATGATTCCTCTGCCAAATCCGAGCATGACGGAGCTCTTTCTTCCGAAACAGAGTCCTTATCATCACCAGATGTCTCACAGACACCTCAGTGGAGCATGATAAGTGCATCTCCACGTGCCGGAAGCTCACTTTTATCACAAGAATTGGCACCCCAGAATCCGGACTGGAATTCCTTCAGTACAATGAAATCTCCTCCAGTTCAAACAATGGGGCGTCCCACAGGTTATGATCCAAATAGGATTCCAGTGTCTATTTTTTCGACTAAAAAAACAGGGAATATGGATTGGAGTGTTGCTTCGAACGAATCACTGTTTAGCATACATATGGGAAATAACAGCTTCTCTAGAGATAATGCCATGTTCCTCGGCAAGTCTGGAGAATTGTCACGGATTGAAGAATGGAACAACTCACCATCCAATCTTCAATATGTTCCTGAAACCAAATCCGGTGAGTTGAACAGCTTCCCTTCCAGCCTTCCCCCACTCATTGAAGCAACAGCAGACGAAGAAAATTGTGTAAAATTAGGGGAGACTTGTAGAAAAGGACAAGAGGATTCTGGCTCAAGCCCAAAGACAGCCCCAACAAAAACCGTAGAGGATCTAGAAAAGGAAAAGCCAGCTATGACTGAAGTTCGTCTTCCACCTAGTGTCTCTAATGTGTCGGACGGTAAAGTATCAACTCGTTTCCCCTCGAGCCCCCCTCGTCCTTCTGACGACAGTGGAAACAGCAGCAGCTCGTTTGCTTTCCCATTGTAAGTTCTTTTCTTACAGTAAAAAATGCTCTCTCATGATCATCTAAAACTAGCACTGGCTAAAATTCATGATGAAATGAATATAATAATCTCTCTACTGGATATGCTTTTATAATGTACTTCTGTTTTGTTAGTCTTTGAAGGCGAATTTACTTTACAGTCTAGTGGATTACGAGCTTCCATTAACAATTCAGTAGTCAGATGATGGATTCTGTAAATTTTAGTTGTGTAACAAACATATATCCACGATGATTAATGTTATTTCTGTATCCCGTGCTATCAATTTCTCCTGACCATACGTCACAAGTGTTTATAGCTTTCTGCTCATTTTGAATGTGAAAAAGGCTATGGTCTTCTTCTTCTTCTTTTTTCGGTTTTTCTGCATTAAGCACTGAAAGGGATATCTGACCGAATATATTCTTCTGTCTCAGATTGGTAAACGACGGAGGGAAAACTGGCTCGTTGAAGTCGGTACCCAAAAAACAACAATCAGAACCAAATCCTTCCGATGCAACACCAAAAGCCTCGGAGACAAGATGGTTTTCTCGCTTCTCCTGTTGGCCTTTCTGCCGTTAAGATACTTTTTGTATCTAGTTATTTACTGAATTTGCATTCTGGGACTATCAGCATAGAAGGATGATAAAATGTTGTGGTCCGCACCAAAAGCGAGAGGCTTTTAGCGGTGAAACTGCCTGCCAATCGACGGACTGTAAAGTAACAGAGTGCCTGCATAATTTGTGCCTCAATTTGTTGATGTTGTATGATAAGTTTGCAGCAAAATTTGTCATAGCGTGACTACTTCATGTTGAGTGTTTGTTTCGGTTTGTAAAATCGTCTCCGTTACGTGATGGAAAGGGTGCGTTTGATTGCAAGAGTGGAAAATGGATGGAAAGAAAATATTTTATAGGGCAAAGATATTTTTAGAAAATGTTTTACTGTGAATTGTAATTAAGTGTGTTTGATTGGTATAATTTTCCATCTGGAAAATTTTTAAAAGTTTTGAATTTTTTTTGTTCATGTTTGACTTTATTTTACATGAAAATTGTCCATTAAAAATGAATTTTTTTTTACAATT